AGCCCCGGGCCGGGGGCGCAAGGAGGTATCAGTGCCCCCAGTGGGCGGTGGCAGCGGTGTCCCGGCTCCCGCCGCCGAAGGGACCGAGTTTTCCGTCCGCGTTCATGTCTGAGCTCGGCAGAGCTGCAGCTGCAGCAACGCTGCAGGGCCCGAATGGCCCTGGATGAAACAAACCCTGTGAATTCGAGGGGGGTTGAAGGCCCCAGGCCTCGTGTGACAGAAATTAAAGTTTCTGCCCAGCTCGTGTGCAAATACCTGATCCTGTGAGGAGCTGGTCCTGCTTAACAGAGGCAGCGTCTGTGTCCCAGGCCCGCGCCCCCCTGGGCTGACGTGCAGAGGCTGTGCAGGTAGCATAGGGACCACCTGAGTCACTCCTGAATTCCCCCTCGGTCACTGCAGTACGGCCCGGCCTGCACAGCCCATCTGTCACCATGCACTGACAGGTACGGCTGAGACCCGAATCTGGCCTTTTTTAGAACTGAGTGAACCTGTGACACGACTGACTTTGCTCTTTTCCAGGCGGGTTAGGGAAGAGCTGTAAACGATGGCGATGGCACTAAGAGGCTTCTGGCATCTGCCTTCCCTGCTTTATCGCTCATCGCTGGCAGTGATACGGGGACTGCCACCGGCCCCCGCAGGCTGCCCAGCCCTGCTCCAGGCTGGCTGCAGTCACCATCGGATGCTGCTGACCAGACAGCTAGCGTCCAAGAAAGGTAATGGCATCAGACTTTTTCCTGGTGTTTGCCACCCCTCAATACACTGCCAGAATGTATTTTCTTATCCCTTTTGTCTTGTGTAGCAGTCTTGGTCTAACCTCGGCAGAACACAGCTCTAGAGGAGCTGGTTAGGCTGACGCTGTTGCAGCATACAGGAATCCTCAGCCCTTCCCCGGAGAGGCACCGCCTGGAGCTGCTGCTGTGCTGGGGCAGTGGGTAGCAATTGTCACAGTCCAGGCTGGACTTTATGCCCACGGAGTGACCTACAAATATATTTTGGCTTATGTGCTCAAGTGCTGGGCAATTGACGCATGAAAAAAATACAGTTTCTTTTCAATCCTGAATCTAACAAGGATTTTAATGTCTTCTTTCTACTTTCTTATGCAACTACTAACTGGTGGCAGAAAAATAAATTATTGTTATGTGGAATCTACAGCTAAAGGTAAAGGGCAGACTCAAGCCAAAGTGAATATCAGTGCTGCCCTGGTTGAAGATATTATCAATTTGGAGGAAACCAGTGATGACATGCAGGCGGTGGTAGAAGCTCTGAAGGAAGATTTCAGCAGAAATCTCAGTGTTAGAACCTCGCCAGGTTGGTAGCTTTCTTGTATGATGCTCTGTTGCCTGTAAATAAGGGTGTCAGTCTCAGTAACGGAGCACTCTTGATTTTTTCAAAATGTATTTTCTTTTTATTGAGTTATTCACTGGGCGTGCAATTACTGCAACCTTCACATCCCCAGCTAAAGGCTTTCTTCACCCAGAGTTTGACCAGGAAGAATCCATTTTTGTTAATAGCTTCCTGGAAATAGCTTTTATAAGTGGGAGATGTCAAAAGTGTCTAACTGAACTGTTTGCAGATGTGATGAAGAAGCAGGTTGTCAGCTAATGGTGCAGTGGGCAGGAAAAATCCAATTGCCATTAAATTAGCCTTTTGGAAATTGCCATCAGGCTGGTGTCTGGCATATGCAAACTTCTTTTGCTGTGTAGTTTTGCGATTAGCGACCTTTGCAAGCCTTGTTCACTTAGTGAATTTTGTGTTTTAGGAAGAAATGGGAATGTATTTGCCTAAGCTACAGTTAGTATAACACTCTGAACATAGGTATTTGTAAGTAGTATCAAGTTGCAGGGATAAAATTTAACATTAAACAATGACCAAATTTGAATCATTCACCACCCGAGCTCTGGCAGAGGCACTTCAGTCTTTAATGGAGCTGGAAATCGTAGCTCAGTCTCTTAACTATTTATTTTAAGCATAGATATTTTTTTTAATTGCACTGATAAAGTACCTCTTGTCCCATGTGCCTTTTGGCCTGTTAACATTTTGCAGCAGAAACTAGAGAGCAGATTAAGAGTAGCTCGGGGAGAAACTGAATACTTTAAATTAGGCAGTGTACAATTCCTCTTGGGACCTGGAAAGAAATGGAGGGGGTTTAAGAGAACATTGCTAAGTTAAAGACAATAGCTGTCTTGATTTTTATAACAACACTTTGATTTTCTGTAAGTTCTAAGAATTCAAAAAGTAACTCTTTTAATTTGTAACAATCTTGCTTAGTTTTCCTATTCTACTAACAACAACAAACAAGAGTTTTGGTTTCATGCTTTTGTGCTTTAGAGTAGCGTTGAAATGCTTAGCTTGAAAATACCACAGGGGATGTGTGAACAGCACAAACAGCACCAAAGTCTGAGAAAACATGGGGTTTTTTTCTTTTATGACATCTATATTTTGCATAACAGAAGGAAAGTGGGACACTGCGTAAGTGTTTTTCTTCAGCATTGCTGTCTCATACTGAAACTCCCCTGTGTTTGGTTCTTTTGAGGGGCCCTTGATCACATAATCGTGGTGACAAAAGACGGGAAGTTTCCGCTGAACCAGCTGGGGCAGATATCACAGACGTCGCCACAGCTCATGATAGTGAACATGACTGATTTTCCTGAGGTAAGGACATGTTACTGAAGGTGTTGCAAAGGGAGATGATTAACATGGGAGCAAACAGGTTGATACTGAGCAAAGGAACATTAGAAAATCAGTCAGACCTGGCAGAGACAAGAGCTCCGGCCAGGCTGTGCTTTGCAGCTGACACAAAACAGAAGTGGCATTTTACTGCCAACTGCACAGGGCAAGCGATTCTCCAGCCCAGCCTGGCACACAAAGCACCTCACAAGCAGCAGCACAGGTTCATACAAGAGTCACGCACTGCCCATGGGACCACGGTGGCTCGCAGGGTCATAACCAATAAATGCCACTGCGTGAGGGGTTTCCTTTGGGACTGGTTTCCCCGTCAGCTGCACCTGTAAGGGCTTGGTTGAAAAGTGGCACAGAGCATGTCACAAACTGGATGCCTGGGTAAACTCTGCCCTGCCCAGTCTCCCCATTTCCCATGCTTTTATGGCACCCAGTAGTCTTAAGCGCACACTCTACAATAGTCCATATTTGTGCTGGGGACACCATCAAACTCCTAAAACTTGCTTACCTGTCACTGGGGCTAGTGACACCCCAAGAGCTCTTGGAAGAAGCTGCTGATGCAGCCTATGAGCTTCTGAAAAGCCTCCCTGGTTGGAGGAAGCCAGGCCTATGCTAAGTCCTGTCACTGGCTCGGGCATTGCTGAGGTTAGCGAGCTCCTTCAGGTCAGAACCTAAATTAGGTGCTGTGACCTGCCCTCCAAAAGAGCCGACTTCCCTTAATTTTCTGCAGGAGCCTTAGTTAGACATGCCCCTGAACAAGGCTGCAATTCTGAGTCCCACCTCGGGATCAAGCACCAGCAGTGCCCCGCAGCAGGCTCGCACAGATGGAGCCCGGCAGCGTGCAGACAGGAGCTGGAGCAAGCGCAAGGTTAGCTGTTCATCCCGCTCCGGGGCTGGAGGTTTGCCAAAGCTTCTCTTATTTATTTTGCAAAGGCTTTCCCCAATTAATTAAGTCAGCAAAGTCTCAGAGGAGGTCAGCGCAAGGCACTTGATGCCTAAGTGTTTCTTAAAGTGTACCCAGCATCTATAATGGCTTTGAAAAATGATGGCCCCTCATCAGTGAGTGCACCAAGGTCCCTCGGAGTGCTGGAGCTGAGAGGGCCAGGGAAGTCGCCCCATGACTAAGCCCATATCCAGGCAGGAGCTCAGACTGAGAAACAGGCATGTGAGAAATTAGTATCACACTATATACCATTGCCTGCATTGCTTTCTGAGCCAGAGGACCCTTTTTCATTTGAACTGAAGCTAAAACTGTTTCTCTCAATGTAGTTGTTTATACCATAACTGTTCTTTGGATAGATTGAACTCTAAAACCATCACATGTTTACTAGGTGTCATTATTTACAGCATATTGCACGTTGGAAAGCAAATAAAAATGCCTGAGGAGTGTGGTAAAAAAAATAATCCTAGAAAAGGAGTTGCAGGGCCAAATTCTGTTTGCCTGAGAGTTATGAAGACAAACAGGCCTATGTCTTTTAAGCGTGGCTATTTACTTCATGGGCTGCGAAAAGGGTGGGGGCAATATTGTAATTTTTTTCTCCTTCCTCTATCCTCTCCAATATGTATGTTAAAGAACACAGCTTTTACTGAGCATTTCCTTCCTACTGAACAACTCTGTCCATAGAATAACACATTTACATTCTTAACGTGCTGAGATCACCTTGGTTGCGTTTTCTCTGCCCTTGTTGTGTTGCAGAGGACAGCAGTGGTGTCTCACAAAGCACTGGGAGAGCATTCATTTTGTTCAGTGCTGCCACGCATCAGAGACCTAAACAAATACGCAGAGCTTTAGTTTGTGACTCAGTTGTCAAAAACTAATTTCCTAAATACAGTCTACTGCGGCAGCCTGCAGATAAAGTTAACGATGGGAAAGAGCATCAGAAATAGCAACGCGTCTTGTCAGAAATGCCACCCGAGTGCCACAAGAATACAGACTCGCTCAGTCTTGTTAGTGTCAGTGTCAAGAATGAAGCAACCTGGCAAAGAGCTGTAAGGTACCGCAGTGCCTGGGGTGGGAAGGAAGCATTTTAATTGCTGTGCAAACCTGCGCACCCCACCCTCTAAGCAGAGCAGAGCGTCAGCCAGCGGCGATGGAGTTTTGAGAAGTTAATCCTAAGTAATAAGCTGTAAAATAAACAGAGCTGGGCACAGGCTCTATTTCTCAGTCAACTGCTACTGCCCCGCTGTAATGTGGTTAGGTTGTAGTGCTGAAGCGGTTAAGTTAGTTAACATTTCTAAATTGGCACTGTGTGATTTCTAGTGGGAAACATCCAACTGGAATTTTTAAATGCTCAGAATCTTTCATCTCCTTCGCCACAGTCAGGCTATGCCTTGGGAATTTATTGCAGTTTCACTCTGCGTTGCCTCAAACCATTCAAATAGTTTCAAAGCAGCTAAACAGTTTCTTTTGTTGTTGCTTCCCTTCCCCTCTCCCCCCTTCATGCCCCTCTACTCTGATACTGAGCGCAGCCGTAGTTTCCCATTTGGATTGATCAAAGCTCTCCGCACCAATGTAACTTCCTGATCTTACTGGTAACAGAAGTAAATGTTTCCATGTTCTGTGGAGATGGATTGCCAACTATTGACAGAGTTCTGGCATATGGGAATGATTATTTCCTAATTCCCTTTACCTTTTGATCTGTTTTACAGAGCACAGCTGCAGCTACGAAGGCTATAAGGCAGAGTGGCATGAACCTGAACCCAGAAGCGGATGGGACAATAATTCGGGTGCCGATTCCTACGTGAGTATTGGTGGCTTCAAGTTCATCATCTTGCAAGATAATGCAATAGGTTGCAATGAGTGCCCTTCAGAGGGTGAGCACACACGATTGCTGTAATATCGTGGTCCAACTAATTTCCAAATAGCTATATTTCAGGTTCAGAAAAGAGTCTGACTACCTAAAAGCGTCTGGTGGAAGCTCTTCCAAGTGTCTGAGCTCTAAGTCACCACATTTTGGCATCTGGTGGTTGGTCTTATTGTTCTTTATCTTCCTCCTGCTGATGAAAGTTGGTCCTAGCTGGCTGCAGCACTTCAAGAGAGAGTCAAGGGCCTTTGAAGCTGTATTGCCTTAATTCAAGGGCTGGTTCTTTGCAGCCCTGCTGTAAATTCCTTGAATTACACCAGCACAGAGCAGCAGTAATAGAGAAGTGAACCAGCAGTGTTTGGGGTGAATAGCACCTTGCTCCAGAGATCACTAAAAGGAAATGATGAAAGAAAGAGAAAGGAAATCAATAGCTTTGACTAAAAATATCCACTCGCTTTTCTCATGTAATACTCACTGTGTAACAGATGGCAGCGTGGAAACTTTGGTGTAGGGCTGATAGGAAAGGAGGCTGCTCCCGGCTGAGGACTGAGCATAACTCACCCGTCACAGGTATCTCCCAGCTCTGGCATAACGCAGGAGGTGCTTCAGAGCTTCAGTTTGGATCGGGAGAGCACTTCTGAAGTGATCCTGACAATCCCTGCTTATCGTGCTTTGGGCTGCAGCATCCTGGGGTCTCTGCCTGTGAGCGGGATGCTTTTCAGGTAAAACTAAAAATGAGGTACCCTCTGGGAAGGCAGTGAGCGCTCTCCCACTGCACACATGTGTCTGTGCTGTGAACACCTCCCACCAAGGGTAGAGACAGCTCCGGAGGGCTAGGACAGCTCCATGCACTGCCTGTGTGCGCAAACACCTTGCACGTGCGCTGCGTTTTACAAGCAGGTGACTCCTCAGTGAAGACCAACCAAGTATTTCTCATGCTTTAGATGGACTTGAAAAATTCTATGGAATTTTATCTGGCATTTTGAGCAGAGAAGCCTAATTGCAGCTTTCCGTTGCTGTTGGTGAGAGGGAATGACATTATCATTCTATTTGCTGATTTTCTTTTCCCCGTGCTCCCTGCCCTTCCCCCATTCCTCAGGAGAGGAGGCAGAGGAGGAGGAGGGCATCATTATCTTCATAATTGCTGAGGCTCCTGGGTTGCTGCGCAGTGGCTTGATTGTTAATGGGCACTCGGGTCATCCTTGAATATGAATTGCAGGGGAGGAAACTCCAAAACTGCAAATCCCAATCTTTAAAAAGAAAAAAAAAATACTGTTTTTCAAACAAATGGGTACGGTCTGTCACTATCTTTTTGTGATGTTGCAGAGTGAAAAACGGGGCTTTTCTGCCCAGGGAAGATCTGCCTGTGTGCTCCCTTGTTCCCCATGTGCATTGGGGTTGCTGCTCGTGGCCTCTTTCTTCCCAGCTGCTCAGCAGCCCAAGGAGTCCTGAATTAAAGAGGTTTTTGGTGTGGGGAACATGCACTGCAGGCCAGACCTCACGGGCACCCCTGGTCCCATTTGCTCACCTGTGCTGTAGAGGCATAGCCGGGTCTTTCAGAGTTTCAACCACTTCAAGAAGACGAGCAGAGAGTTTCAACCTTTTAAAACCTAATGCAAAGGAGAGGTGGAAAAATATCAAATCCTGCTAGAGGCCTCTAATATTATATCCTGGAATTACTTTTAAAAATTGTCTAAGTTTTTCATTTTCCCCAGTCTGAAGATGTTTATGAAAGGACATGGCAGACAGATGCAGTGAAAATGCCAAAACTGTGGCAGGTGTGCAAAATGAGCAAACATCAAAAATGAAGAGACAATGTTGTTGCAGCAGAAATGGGTTCTCTCATGAGGGGAGGCACGGTAAAAGTAAAATCAAACCTGAATTTTCTTATTCGTTATTAAAGCCACGTTTTAGTCCGACCTATCAGCTGGACACACGTGCGTCATTTTACCTTGTGCCGGTCCAGATATGTTTCAGTGCTTGAGTGTTTCAGCTGAGCATTTCAGAACAGAGTTTGCTTTTCAGTATTTATTCTGTTAGTTTAGTTTTCGCATTGCAGTTTTTACAGGAAAAAGAATACACTCGCTTCATTCGTGTTTACTTCTGCATCCTGCTAGGATCGCCTTTGTTCCCTAAGGCATTTTCTTGTTTGTGTTGCTAGCATTGCATAGGCAATATTTATTTGTAGAAAAAGTATTCCCTAGGGGTTTAAAAAGAATTTTTTTTTTTTAAAAAAAGAAAGAAAACCAGCCATGGGAACACTTGTATTGCTTGATCTCTTGGCCGAATTTGACCTGACCTTGTCTCTTTTATGGTATTGCCTCATTTTTAGATTCATCTTTTTTGGACCCATTGTGTTACACTGGATATTGTTTGTAAATTAGAAATATTTTTACACATGCTTTACTGAAAGCCAGATGACTCATTTGAAAGTTTAATGACTCATTGTGAGCTTTTTTCCTTTGCCCTTTAAGAAATATGCAAAGATACCTACTATGGGGAGAAAGGACTCAAAAATTTTCATCTGAGAAATACCAAAGCTGTTTCTGAGCTGCGTTGCTCCGGGTCACTCATCTTCATCAATCTCTTGCATGCTTTTTCCTGAGCAATATATGTTGCACCCTATGTTTATCTGCAATTATGCATGCAGAGTATCTAGTTATGCCTACTTTTCTTTAACTGATCCCTCTCATTCACAGAAATTCCTAGCATTTGAGATACAGAAATTATTCTTACCCACATAAACGCGTCGGAGACGAGACACAGCCCATGTCGCGCTCGCTGTGGCTCTGCTCCTGCCGGATGCAGGGAGAGGAGCATCCAAGGCTTGCAGTGCTTAAACCACTGGTGGAAGTAGAAAAAGAGGAGATGTTAGCCGTGGGGCAGCATGTGTTTCCAAAAAGCACCCATTTCAGTCCCCCCTGATCCTGGCAGGGCAGGAAATCCTTGGAAAAATGGCAGGATTTGAGCCTGCAGCTCCTTGAGGCGCAGGAGGGGATCGTGTTCCCCTGGGGAGAGGTGAGGGGGCTGCAAGCAGGGACCTTGTCCCTTTTCCCTGCTTCTGGTGCCCCTTCCCCAGGTTCACCTCACGCTTTTTTGTTTTTTGGCTTTAAAGACGGGATAGGGCCGGTGGTTACTAGACAGAAAAGAAAACATCTCGAAGAACAGCCTAAAAGTCCCAGATCTAGGGGCAGGATTAAACAACTGTCCTCAGAAACCATGAGCCTGGCTCGTGTTGATGGATTCCTTAACCAGAAACAGCATCTGCTTGAAAAAGCGTCCGTTTCTGGCATCGCTGGTAGCATTGCTGAGAATTTACACACAGTCTGGCTGGAACATAAAACCCGCTGAGAAACTCCACGGCACTGCGCAGTGATAAAAAGAAATTGGTGTTAATAAAGACAGACAAGGAGGCATGAAAGCTGTGACCCCGTGCCAAGAAGCATAGGAAATCTGGCAGCGCTGCATAAACAAAAACATTTCCTTAGAGGCTCCGCCGCCCCCAGGCGGCGGGGGG